TGAATTGGGATGCGATCTAAGTCGCAATATTGTGAAGTATCTGTACTAGTATTATTACTAGCCAGGATATTTCATTTTTCTAGTGCCATGTTTGTGTTCGCTAACAGAACATAAGACCTTATTCTTTTATAGTCACTGTTAGTTGGTATAGGGACCACACAACCTGTGTCTCAACCCCGGTCCCTGGATCCTAAAAGCTTAAGCGTTAAACCTCTAAAATGTGTTTTGCTGTGCTCAGGGATTGGCACCAGAGGCGAGGAAGCTCGTGTGGAAGTACCTATTAGACTACTACCCTTGGACCTGTAGTGAGACTGAGTGCTTAGAACTACGTAAAGAGAAAACGTATGTAATGTTTTTGACTGCAGAGGAACTACGTAAAGAGAAAATGTATACAGTTGTGGCGAGTGTGTCGATCGTATTAAAATTACGTAGATGGATCATGTTTGTAATTGTGTCGATTGTATTCAATCATTACGTAAACAGAATATGTATTGCATGTTATAGTATTATAAAACAAATTATGTATGGTATGTTATAGTATTCATAAAACAGATTATGTATTGCATGGTATAGTATTTATAGCCTTTTCCTGGCGTGTGCTACACTCTTTCCTTTCTACATAACATAGTTCTCAAGCAAGCACCCACACAACACCTTATGTCCAGACCATACCATACCAACGTAAGGGAGGAAAGTACTGTGTATATTGTCCAGCGGCAAACGATACCATTTGTATACATCTGAGGCTTCGAGTGTCCACACACGGGTTCATCAATGGCAATCATGAAACAAGGACAATGGCACTATTTCATACCGGCGTGCAAGGATACCTACATGCCACCGTAAACGTTATCTCATACCTTTTCTTTACCTGATTTATAGTGCACTCATTCCATTTTTTTTTCTTAATATTTTTGCATAACAAAGAGAGGAGTACAATGTATATAAAAGCCAGTGGCAAAGCATAACACCCACACAGGCGAAGCGGTTCCGAAAGTTTCGCGATAGAGAGCACCGTATCGGTATGATTGTATATGCATTTGTTAGCGTGTTTGTTTTCTAGAAATGTCACATCTACACCGTTTACGTTTATTTATTCATCTGCGCCGCTTTTCGTAAATTTCGATATCAAGAATATAGTCGTCTTCCAAATACTATACTTTCAACTATTCGTGTATGCGTGTTCGTTCCATAAAAAAACAATATTACCTACACCGCTTTACGTAAATGTACGTTCGAGAACAAGGCGTCGCTCGAATCCTATGAATCTCATAACGTTCTGTGATATTTTGGGAGAAAACGGCATGTCTATTCCGTTATGATACGGCAATGTGTAAATACTTTACCAGACAAAGACACCTTTCAGCCGATATTGTGACAGACGGAGGTAGGGGCACGGGAATGAATACGTATATTTGGAGCGGATAACGTAAAATCCTATGCGCAGAACGGCCGATATGCCAGAAAGCGTTTTCTGAAACATATTTTGGATACGTTTTCAGAGTACGTGAACTATCATGTGCACAGCAAGACGGCAGCCGAATTGATAGGCAGTAACCGATATAACTGCAACCCTATTCATTTCCGAAGCATGAACTGACAATACGTTTACTAACTCATACTACGTTTTCTCTCACTTGGAGCGAAAGATGACGGTCGGGCCAATAGACAGCAACCGATATAATAGCAACTCTGTGTGTTTCCGAAGCATAATCACTGAATACATTTACGCACATAGATTATGTAAACTCTCACTTGCAGAGAAAGACGTCAGCCGAACCGACAGGCAACGGCCGATATACCGGGATGAAAATGGCGAGGCATTGAAGCGCATGCATGACGTGCTGTTGACATACGTATTCTACAATTTTGATCTAGGTACTGTTTCCGTACAGGTATTGAGTGATGTTGGCGTTTACGTATTATCCGAATGTGGCGCAGATGTCTATAGGTATTCGCTAGAATTGTTTCGGGTAGGGATACGTTTTGTGAAGATTTGAAGCGGGTGACTCGCCCTTTGATTGTATTGATCTTTCTTTCTCGTAGTTATACCGTATAGATGGCTTCAGGTTGTTTCTTTCTCGTAGTTATACCGTCTAGATGGCTTGGGGCTGTTTCCTTCTCGTAGTCATACCGTCTAGATGGATTGGGGCTGTTTCTTTCTCGTAGTTATACCGTCTAGATGGCTTGGGGCTGTTTCTTTCTCGTAGTTATACCGTCTAGATGGATTGGGTCTATTTCTTTCTCGTAATTATACCATCTAGATGGCTGGGGTTGTTTCTTTCTCGTAGTTATATCGCCTAGATGGTTTGGGGTTATTTCTTTCTCGTAGTTATACCGTCTAGATGGCTTGGGTTGTTCTTTCTCGTAGTTATACCGTCTAGATGGATTGGGTCTTGTTTCTTCTCGTAGTTAGTACCGTTAGTATTGCTTGGGCTGTTCTTCTGTAGTTGTACCGTCTAGGTATGGTCTTGGGCTGTTCTTC